TTGGTTTCTTCCAAGAGGGCTCAGCAGCCAAAAGTCATGAAGCAACTGCAGAAAGGGGTACAGGGTAAAGCAGAGAGAGGCTCTGCTGAAGGAATTGTCAGCAGTTAAGCCTGACCAGGATGCCCCTGGGGAAGACAATTGTGAGTTAGCTCTGCATTTGGCAATCTCTGAGAGATTTACTGTCCTGAAGAGGAAGATAAAATAATATCTCAAAGCAAATGTCAGCTGCAACAACTGTTAGTGACAGAACAAGGGGATGTGAAAGCTGACACTTTTTCTCTACCTGGATTTGGAAAGAGCAGATTCAGCACATGTCTGGACATTTCTGTCCTTGCTCTGCTTCCATCACCTACTCTGCCAGTGGAAGGGAGGACAACCAGCTGTGCCAGGCACTGGGCAACACTGGAGTCAACTACACAGGACTGTCCAAGCAGCAGTTTGAAGACATCTGCACCACCTTTAATCACGGTAACATGACTGCTTTGCTTGAAGCCAGCTCTGTATATCTAGATGTCAGATACACATTAAAAAAAACTAGTCTTTTACCACTTCAAATATATTTTCTCCTGAGCACCTCACTTAAATAAATCTGTTCAGTCATGAACATGCTGTCCCCTAAGAAATATGTCAGCAAAGTACAGGTGGAAGTTGCACTCTGAGTTAGCACACAGAAGGTGGCTACCAGGGAAGCTGGAGCCTTCTGTGACTCTATCCTGAGATGCAGGTGCCAGTCAGAGGCACGAGTCCTTGGTGGGGGGCAGCTTGTAAACAGCAAAGAGGGTTAGAAGTGCAATTAGTCTGTGTGACAGCCGTGACCGCCTTCTGTCACCACCCTGGGCCAGGCCAAATCCCCTTTCCTCCCGCTCTTGCACAAAGCTGAGCCAAGGCACAGGGCTTATAAACATGCCCAGCTGCCTATCAGCCCAGGGGAAAGAAAACAAATGCACCACAGCAACAGGCAGACCTGTATATGGGCAAGCCCAGATTATTGGCTGGTGTGCCTGGCTGTCAGATCTTGGTGCATCCTAAGTAAGGAAGTCTAGGATGCTTGTTGATACTGTCCATTAGGGGATTTAGTAGTGGTCACTTCTTGTGGTCAGCAGCAATACAGCATAGCACAGGGAAAACTAAAATTAAAGTATGGGTAGCAAGATCCTGTGTAAGCTACGGGATGTGGAAAACACTGAGGAAGTTTCTTTGGTCTTCCTGTCTAAGGTATTTCCCTATGGTTTCTGCATCTCCACCCACAGATGCAGGATGGAGGTAAAAAAAAAAGGCTAAAAGCTGATACTCCATGTCAGGGACTAGCTATCTTGTGCTCCAGTCACTTTCAATCCTGCAACTCTTTGGCATGACAATGGCATTTTATGATTTCTCATGGCTGCTCAGCTACAGGCAGCTCTAGAAGACATCAGCTGGGTTGCAGTTGTCACCAACATGTCCCTACCTGAGTAAGAATGAAAGGTAACAAATTCCACCATTTTTATTCCTTAGTTACTTTTTATTCCCATCCCTGTGCTCAGGAGAGTTGCTCAGAACAGGGCCATATTTTATGGCTTTAAACAAAGCTCTGGCCTGCTTTGTCTTTGAAGTGAAAGTGAAAACTCAAGAACAAGCAGTGTGGGAAGAGTGAGGTTCACATATCATGCAGTCTAGCATCTGCCCTATCATATTCCCTAGCCTGAGATGCTTTTCCCCACTCATTTTTGGCAACTGGTAACTGCTCAGTCCTTTTGCAGTCTCAAGTCCTGACATTTGCATGCAGAGTGGGAAAGGTCACACAGGGTGGTCAACATTGTGGTCTTGTTCAGAGAATGCTGGGGAATACCACCCTTCCTAAGAAATGATTCAGTCACAGTACTGATACTAAAGGGGGTTCAAGTGGGAAGGGATGGAAGTAACATAGTGTTGGAGTTGAAAAGGCAGAAGGAAAGTTATATGCAAGCTTCTAGAAATTACTCCAGAAGCCTAACTGCTAAATCCCTGAAGGCTGGGTCTCTACCTGCCTTTAGTCACTGCTCCAGCTTTCAATAGAGTGACTTTCATTATTCTTCCTGTAGAAAGAGGAGATGACATTGACTCCACTATGCAATTTGGTCCTACCCTACCTTTTATGTCCCGAGTCCAGCCAGTGTAACAAAAGAGTCTCTGTGCTGGGGACATTGTTGACCTGTGGTTAGCCCAAATAATTTGCCTAAAGGCTCTCTTTAACATTCAGTATTTTAATTCTTAGATTAAAAGAAACAGTGCCTCTGGGGCACTGTTTAACCATTATCACAATTTAGGTTATCACTTTCAAAGCTGCCTGAATTTTCACATCTCTGTCTAGCAAAGAGCCTTCACTGTCACTTCTTCCTAACAACACCTAAGTGGGAGAAGAGTTACAATCAAACTACCTGTTCAGTTAACAGATCCAGGCTCAACCCATCACCCTTCCACCTGCTGACAAAATGAAAAATGTTGTGGAATCACAGCATGGTTGATACTACACAGGACACATGAAGATTGCCTACACCAATCTCCTTCTCAAAAGAGAGACAACTAAAAAGTTTACCAGAGCCTTATCCAAACGTCTTTTGAACAACTCCAAAGCCATAGACACACAACCAATGTTACAAAGTTTGGCCGCCATCACCATAAAGCCATTTTTCTTTTGTTTAAATACCTCCCCTCTCTCAATTTATACTTATGCCTGGAAGAATAATGAAATATAAGATCCACCCTGACTCTTCTCCTCTGCAGGCTGAACATTCCCCATTCTCTCAGCCTCTGCTCATATGATGGTTTCTTTCAGTAGGCAAGAGCCTCACTATTGGAGTGTTTGGCTTCAACCTCATGGCTGCTCTTGGATCACTCTCAAATTAAAATAGGTCATTAGTAGGTGGTATTTTCTTCTCAGTATTCTATACCATAATCAATTCACCACCCAGTCTTCCTATTCTAGATAGTTTCACTTGTCAGTTTCTTTAAGGCTTTCTTACAGCCTTAAACCACAGTCCCACCATGTTTTTTCCTCAGCTGTCTCCAGTTTTCCAGCTTGCCTGTAATTGTGGCACCATACCCAGGATTTCCTCATGAGGTATAAAAAACTGATTGCTCACTCCTACTTTCCACACTCATATTTAGGACAGCAGGAAGTTTTTGTTTTTGCTTTAGATTTGACCATCCCCACTCTCTACCCCTCTTTAGCCATGCAAGGAGTCCATTTGCCTTTTTTAACAGGACAACACAGTAAGAACTCATGTAATCTTGTGTATCCTCTGTGATTTGGCAAGTTTTTAGGGGTCCTTTTGTAAGGATGGCTTTTATTCTTATGTGCTCCTACTTAATTACGTTTCTCCTGCCTATAAGAAAATGTTTTTTGTTTGAATATACTCAACTTATCAAGTTATCTAGATCTCTTTGAGTAGCCTGTTCCTCTTGCTACCACCCTATTCATGCTTGTGTCATCTGTAGGGTTTTACCTGCTTTGTATTTTCCTTAAAATCATGGTTGGAAATGTTAACCAGTTTTCATTTAACAACTGATCCCTGCAGAAACCAAACAAAATAGAGCATTCCAAGCAGACAGTTATCTCTTCTGCCTATTGAAAATTCTCAATTCACTTAATCTATACTTTATGGACTTTGCATCTTCTGAATCAATACAACATACCATAATTCTCTTTTTATCAATAGGTCATGCCTTACAAAAACTCTGTACCATAATGCTAGGAATTTACTGTATCAAACATAACTGTATTATAAAATTGAATGTCTCATTCCAAAAAGCCACATTCCTATTCCATAATTCTCCATTAGCTAACATCTGTAACAAATGCTTTTTCTATTATTTTTCACTGGATACTTGCCAGCTACCTGGCCTTTAGATCCATTGGTCTTAAGGGTTCTCCACTTTAAATGCAGGAACCATGTTGGCACCTTAACATTCCTCTGCTAGAGTAATTAAAGCCAAATCTCAGCAGCCTGGAGTTGAGCACCATTTATTATGGTTTCAAGTAATGAAAGATTCTAAGAGATGGAAGTAAGCTGAAGAAAACTGTATCTTGGACAGTGTGAGCATAATGCTGTTTGGTAAGGTAGGTTGGGGAGCTGGAAGACTCTGGACATAAGTGATGTAGGGAGCAGGAGCACCACAAAATAGTAGTACAGAGGAATGAGCAAAAGGTGTTTACCAGGTGATGGGTAGTGTTAGTAGAGAAGTTACGTAATATAAAATGCCAGTGAGTGAGAAGAAGCTGGGAGAAAAAAAAAAAAAAAGAAGCTGCAGGTGGGGGAAGCATAGAAGAAAGAGTGTGTGCAGGAAAGGGCCTGACCTGAAAAAAAACTGAAATGCTAGAAAGTCTAGTGTTGGGACACTAAATTTTTAGAAGTTATGAAGCCCCTGAAAGTGGAAAACAAGCTGTGAATGTTTCCAACAAAAGGCCAGGTTAAGTGCAGGAAGGGATTATTACCAACAGCAAAATCCTGAGGATTGAAAATAGGTATAAAAGCTATAATTCCCTTTTGGCTACTAAACTATAATTCCCTTTTTGCTACTCCTTTTCAGAATTAAAATGTGCACCTAGGAGGATAACAGGGCATTAGGAGAGGTGTGTGTCTAGAGAAGCGTTAAAGAAGTGATAGGAAAGGGGAGAAGAAAGGTCTTGTAGAGGGGTCACCAGGCATCTAAAAGAGCACGAAGGACATTGTCCGAGGACCTGAAGGCAGTACAAGGGAAAAGATGTGTTTGGGCTGGCATGAGATAACCTCAACACCATAAACATTCCCCAGCCATCATCCATGGCCGCATGCTGGGATCTCCCCAGCCCCTCCACCCCACCAGCCTGAAGCCACCCTCCAGGGGTCCTGGTACAGGCACAGGCAGCATTCAGAGATGGGCCCTGCCTTGGACAGCTTGTCCTGGAGAGCTGCAAGTTCTGACATGCTCCCTGCTTTCCAACAGCAAGGGGGTCCCAACAGTCATTTATTATGAAGGAAAACGAGCCACATACAGAAACACAAAAGTACGTATTTTGCTCTATTTTGAGGCACGGCAGGTACTGCAGCCCGGGAGTTCCTGTGGCTAGGAAAGGAGTGGGTGCTTCACACAGAGTCATTTCCAAGAGAAAGATGCTTTCAAGCCACAAGGAGGCGGCGCTGGGCAGCATGGAGTCATGGCGTGAGGGCCATCAGCTGGGGAAGGAGCTCGGCTCTGTGGCAGCAGGGACAGTGCTGCAGAGAAGCTGCTCTCTGGGCCACCTCGGCCTCTCACACCCAGGCCACCTTGATGCCCAAACCCTGAAGCCCCTTGCAGGCTGAGACCCTCCTTCCCTCCCGCTGTGGGGAGCAGGCTCTAGGACCTGACGGCAGCCTCCTCACTGCGCCCATCCTCCAGGCGCCAAGGGCAGTCCACATAGCGCAGCACGCCGCTGACGGGGCCACGCTTGGCGGGATCTAGAGCCAGCAGGCTCCGCAGCATCCCGGCAGCCTCGGCTGTCAGGCGCTTCCAGTGCCGGGGCACGTCCTTTTCTAGGCCTGTCTCCTGCCACTGCATGAAGTCCTCAAAGAATGGGTCCTCCGGCAGGCTCTGCTCCCAGGGGAAGTAGCCGGTCAGCAGGCAGAAAAGCAGCACCCCGAAGGCCCAGGCATCCATGCTGGTGTCGATGGGCACCCCCTGGGCATCAGCAGTGTTGCTCAGCTCGGGGGCAGTGTAGGGGATTACCCCGGCCACCAGCTTGAGCTTGGTACCCTTGGGCCTCGTGAGGCCGAAGTCAGTGAGTTTGACGAGCCGGCAGTCGGGATCAAAAAGCAGCACGTTCTCGGGTTTGATGTCGCGGTACACCAGCCCCCGGCTGTGGATGAACTCCAGCGCGCTCACGAGCTGCTTGGCACACTGCTTTGCGGCCGGCTCAGGGATCCCATCCTGGGCAGGGAGAGAGAAAGGCACGATGGCACACATGGGCACCTCATTTGCCCTGTGAGATGGGCTCTCACCTCAGTGCTCTGCACTGGGAAAGACCTTCGCATTTCTCGCCTTGCAAGCCTAAGGCTGCTTCAGTGCTGCAGACCCCAGATCCAGAGCCATTGCCTTTATCTCCCTCCCTCTGACCCAGCCAGCCTCCAGAGGGGCCAAATGCTACAGCCCAGTCCCCATGGCATTGCAGTAACACTCACGCGGGGTTTGATGATAGAGATGAGGTCCTTGTGCAGCGCTGGTTCATACAGGAAGCCATAGTACTGGCTGGACTCAATGGCAATTCCGAACATGCCGATGATGGCAGGGTGTGTGGCGAGGGACAGTGCAACACAATACTCATACAGGAATGTGTGCAGCTTGGTACTGGCTTTGGGTAGCAGCTTGAGAGCCATAGGAGTCCCTGGGGATGGGAAGAGTGGGTTTGAGTCCTCTGGAAGTCACACTAAGGCAAGACAGAGCAGCCACAGATCCAGGCAGCCACAGCCGCAGGGAGGTCTCTAGTCCAAAGTTTGTGTGGGTATACCCTGTGGACACCAGGTTTGGGAACAGGCACTGTGAGTTTTGAGCCCTGAGCATGCACAGGAGCCCTGGCAGAGTAGAGACATTCAGGACACTTGCGCCCATCAGTCTGAGCTGGGACTACTGGGGAAGAGCAGTGTCAGGGCACTCATATGGCCAACCCAGGATGTTCAATCACACCCTCTGTCCATGGGCCTTAGGGCACCACTTCAGATCAGGCTTGTGACTCCTTGATTGAGCCCTGTAGTGGGACTGCTGTTTCTGTCTGTATCACATGCATGTTGATGTGTATCTGTGGACTCTTGATTCTGATTTGTGGATTAACTTCCCAGCTTGACCTTGGACCTGTCTTATCACTTTAATCTTGCTGGACGTTCTGGGTTGCCCCCTGGCATCACCTGGACACTGGCTGGATGTAATGGGCTGATCCCTAGCTGGGGAGGTCCCCATCCTGTTGGTCTCCCTGGGAATCCTCCCTGCTATGCCTGGTGTCTGTCCCCAACGTGCCACCAGCCCACCCCATGCCCCGTGCCCTGGTGAGTGGAGAGGAGACAAGGCACAGTAGTTCACAGGGCACAGTCAGCTCCTTACCTCTCTGCCTGTGGGTCACTAGCATCACATGGCCATACTTGCCCCTGCCCAGCTCCCGAACAACCTCATAGTGCTCAGCCACCTCAGCGCGCACCAGGCTCTGAGCGGTGATCTCCAGGAGCTCCTCTAGCTTGGTTGGTGCTGCTCTCTCTGGCACTGCTGTGGTCACAGCTGAGCTCTCGGCCATCGCTGGGTGCTGCGGGAACACCACAGCCAGAGTCAGGAACATCACAGCATGCACAGAGAAAGCCAGAACAAACATGCAACACAAACCACGCCATGGCAGGGCATATTTCTGCCACTTGGAGCCTGAGAACTCTTGCTGCTGTGCTAGAATTGAATTTGCACTTTTATACAGCACATCTCTGGCAAAGCCCCTCATCATAGAAAAGTCTCTGTATTGAAGGGAACCTCCTCCAGCCCCCTAATCCTTTTGCCTAATATTAGACAACAGGCAAAACATTAGCAGAGTCCCAGATTTTCAAGTGTGACCCAGTCACCTGCCCTTGCTCTCCTTAGCCTAGTGCAGCAAGACCTCATCTCTCTACTCAGACTTCCACCTCTGCTGCTTACTGGAGAAAGTCCTTGAGCTGGCAGATGAGACAGACCTGTCCCTTAGGCACAGGCACAGCTAGCATGTGACAAAATGCAGAGTGCCCCGAGGAAGCCAAAGGGAGCTCAGTACCCCACATGCCTGATGACATTTCTAACCAAAAGTCACGCATCTGTGCAGCCAAGTAACTTATACAGGAAGTAACCTAGGACATCAATGGCATTTTGAGCTACAGCCAGCTGCTTCAGACCCATTTCAGAGAAGTGTTTTTTCACTTTTCCCAGACAGCTACAAGGCAGCATTTTAAGGCCTCTGTGGCAGCACTCTCTCCCTGTCTACCTCCCTGTGCTCTGAACAAGACACTTTGGGCCTGGGAGTTCTTCCTGGGCTTGGAGAAAGGTCACAGAACCAGTCACAGGATAGTAAATGCCAGAAGGTACTTCTGGAGACCTCTTGCTGCAACATCCTGCTCAGAGGAGGGTTAACTAGAGCAGGTTGTCCAGTGTCCAGCCCAGTTTTAAATATCCATAAGGATGGAGACTGCACAGCAGCTGTGGGTAACCTGTTTCAGTGTTCAATCACCTTTGTGATAAAAAATATTTTAACTTATGCTTAAATAGAAATTCTGTTTCAGGCCCACTGCCTCTTGTTCTGTCACTCAGTATCATCTGATACTGTGATACACCTGGTCGTGTGTTTTTGCAGGTGTTCATATGCATCGATCAGATGATCCTCTCAAACCTTATGTTCTTGAGGCTGATGAAGTCCCAGCTCTGTTAGCCTCTCCTTCTATGAGAGATACTCCCATATCTTAACTGTCTTCACAGTCTGGATTTGTTCCAGTATGTCCACATCTCTCTTCTGCAAAGGAACCTCACTGCTGCTAAATACAGTCATTCTTCAAAATAAAGAAATTTGGAAAAAAGGAATCATTTAAACCTGGGAAATCTACAACAAGGCTGGATTTCGACAGGAACCTGGGACTATTTGTGGGGAAGTTCCTCTTCTCTTCCCTTCCATCTCTCCTAGATTGCATTTCTAAATCTTATCCAATTCAGAAGTGCCAAGCAATTGGCCCTACTTTTCTGCAAGAGTAGAGCAATAAAGTGAATGAGCCAGCTTGGAAGAACAGATCATCCAGAGGATATGGGTAGAGTTTCTTCAGAGCCTGTGACCTGTGGGTCTGATCAGGGCTCCTTATGGAGGAAGCCCCAGCTGCAGTCACTCCAGAACAGTTTGCCAACTTTGGCCCTCGCTGCCCTTGGAGTCATTAACTACAAGAGAAAGTCCATACTTGAGAAAATAGCTGACCTTGCCAGGTCTTTCTTTAAGATGCCACTGAAATTAGCTAGGAAGGTAAGTGAGGATCAAATTTGGGTCACTGCTGAGTAGAGTGTGCCTGGGTGCTCTGCAACTACTTGTGATACCTTCTAAAGCGTAATTTTCCTTTTGCAGATTGACAAGCACTGAAGAGGAGGTCACCAGGGCCCTGGCCAGGATGCATTCACCATTTGGCTGTGCTGTACTGAAGGCAGCAGGCAGAGTCCTATTCAAACCTGTTCTTTCCTCCACTATCCTTTCCATGCTTCATCCCTGCTAGAGCTCTTGTTTCCAGGTTGCTGACTGTGAGAAATTGTAATTCCTCAAAAGAATCTCTAATTACAGCAGCAAAAAGCTCACACCTTTTACACCATCACGAGATAGTTCTGAACCACCTGAGAAGCTGAGGGAGATCTAGCCTATGGAGCTACAATGTCTTAGTCCAGGTAACGTTACTCAACTAAATAATATTACCATTATAATGGTATACCAAACCACTATAATGTTTTTCAACCAAAATGATTAATATATTTAGTGCAGAAAAACACTTCATACATCAAAAGCCAAAGACAGTGTGATCTTTGTATAACAGAGACAGTGCTATGATAACAGAATCACAGAGGTGTTTAGGTTGGAAGAGACCTCTTGAGATCATCTAATCCAAGTTCCTGGCTCAAGCTGCAGCAACTGAAGCAGGTTGTCTAGGAAGGTGTTCAGCCAGGTCTTCAATATCTGAAGATAGATGGAGACTCACCTCAAAGATCACTGCTTAGAAGATTCTGGCTCCCTTTTCTTCATTACCCCTCATCAGATATTTATATACACCAATAAGATCCCCTCTGAGCCTTCTCTTTTTCAAGCTGAAGAGTTTCAGCTGTTTCAGCCTCTTCTCATATCAAAGATACTCTATTAAAAATGGCCTTGAGCATGGTATGGCATGTGGGGTCCACTTTCTTGTCTGACCTTCTACACGGCCTTAACACAAACCAAATAACAAATAGCATCTGGGGCATCTCTTTCCAAAAGTCATTCAGGCTTGATCCAAAGACAGTGGGTCAATTATAAATGCCAGTGTGAACATTCTTGCTGTTAGGTTTTCATATGATAACCTAATGTGAATTTACCTAACCTGCTGCTGAAGTTTCTCAGATAGAGAAATGAGGTTTCCAATACCTGTTAAATTTCTCCAGACTCTTGCAGGGTTTATATGCACTGTGGTCAGAGGTATGACCACAGGCTATGAGAACATATTTTCAATTAATTAGGTTGTGTAAAAGTATAAGGCTGAAGCTCAGGCTATGCATTTAACTGATGCTTTACTTAACCTTCACCAAGCATCTGTCACACTGTACTTCTGTAGTGCTTGCATCAGTTAGTTGAAAAACAGATGTGATGCTGTCACAAAATGTGGTCACATTTTGAACTGAGAATATGCATCTCTATGCTCTCTGATCAAGACACCTCTACTCTTCTTATTGATTCAATGCCTTCAAATAACCTTTCTGTCTAATCATCAAACCAAGCTCTCAGATTGTCCAGCTCTCAGATCTGTTTCACGGCTCTTTTTTAAAGCCTCATCATTTTTCTCCTCCCATCCCACACACTTAAACCCTGACTGTCTTGGGGGGAATGCTCCTGTCACACACTCAGCTAGAATTCCCTGTCTCATGCTGTAGCCTCAAGATCTCTTTTTGCAGGAATGACACACAGGCTGCACTACCTTATACATCCATTATGAGTCCAGAGTTTTTCCAAATTACTGGGGAATGCTGGGGAAGAAATTAACTTCCTCTTCATGTCCCTTTATGGGTGCTGCCTAACTGGTTTCTACATTAATATTTTTGCACCATGTTTAGGAAAGCACATTTTTTTCTCAAATGTATTTAGTGTACCAAGTAATTCAGATCACTTCACCCAGTTGCTATCACACTTCTGCTTAGGGGCTGTGTAAGGACCCCACCTGCAGGTCCCTCCCACCAACCTCTAAATTGCTGGTTTGAAGCAGTTCTCATCCTGGTATTGGTTCATATAGCACCTGCCAGAAATGTCCCATTCACTGGTCATTTCCTGAAAGTTATCTGTACAAATTCATCCTGGCATTGGTCTAAACCAAGAAGCCACATATTTTTAATTAATTATTTAAAAGCCCAGTATACAGTGGAAAACACTATATTTTATTGTTGTTCTCACCCTACACAACTAATTTTTTTCAATACTAACTCTGTCATAATACTTTCACCTTTGTCAATGGTCTAGAAGAAAACACTGAAATCATCCAGAAAAATATTTGCAAATGGCACAAAAAGGGTTTGGGTAAACAATGTGTTGCTTGGTAAAACTAGTGCATGCACATACACAGATACAAAAACATTGCAAATAACCAAAGAAGCCAAAGAAGTCAGGATTTTAGTCTGGCACTGGATGGGTGACAGGGAAAAAGAAAAAAGAAAAAGAAAAAGAAAAAGAAAAAGAAAAAGAAAAAGAAAAAGAAAAAGAAAAAGAAAAAGAAAGTCTTATTACTTGGACACATCCAGGTTCTTCATGCTGCTTAATGGGCACTATGTAGATCCAGAAATGTAGATTTGGTATAGCCTCACCACCTTTGCAGGCCTTAAGACATTGGATGATATAGAACTGCAGGAGAAGTAATCTACAGTGATATAGTTACACATCTTAGTGCTACAGATACAAGCCTAAGAGCATAGCAAGAACAGAACAAGGGTTACTGATGCTACAGATTCCACTTTTGCATTCACTCTGCTAAAGAGAACACCTGAAAAGATTCAGATGCAGGAAACATCAGCAGTGAGAGGCAAACTAACATTTTCCAGATGCTAAATTAAGAAAGTAAGCTTCACTGTAAACAAAACAAAACAAACAAGAAAAAAAAAAATAGAGACAGCTGTTCAGTTTCACGTAGGCTGAGATGATTGTAACAAAAGAAGAGATCTGTTCTGAGGCAATGTGCCTCTTACAGTGAACTCTAGTTTTTGCAGAGGTTCCTACATACAGATGCAATGAGACAGTCTGAAATTTAATCTCCAAAAATCAGCTGAGTTAGGGAAGCTGTATTTCTGAAGAGCTGGCCACCTGTTAACAGCTTTTGCACTACAACTGAGGATATTACATACCAGTGGAATTTGTATTTTTATAATAAATTTATTTTTCTGTTTGCTCTGCTTTGTATTCTTCTTTAACAATCTTTTTATGATGCTTCTTGAAATGCTAAAAATATATTGATATGAAGAAAGCCTGGGTAAATTTCCTGAACTCTTCTGGAGGCTGATAGATCAACAGAACCAGTTACTGGATGTTTTTACCTTTTTAATGATATCAGTGAGCCCACAGTTCAGCAAGCTACCTCTGGTGTCCCCAGTCTGACAGAAAAAGGACAAGAGAACGTCATGACAATGGCAAGAGGGCTGAAAATTACAGGGGAAACTTACAGGGGCGCTGTCTTCATTGCTTATCAAACAGATAGTGAAGTTACTCTCTCATCTGTATACACTTTTCTGAGTACTGGAATTTCACTAGAAAGGGCTCTCCCAGTTAGGTAAAAGTATTATAATAAAACCAATAGGTGAAGCTGAAGTAAGGCCATTTCAGACCTCCGCTGTGGTGCAGATTCTGTGAAGAAGGATATTTGCCCCTAAAAATCTCATCAAACATTGTGGAAGAATATCCTTCCATTTTCATAACTTTTGGTTCAAGAATGGCATCCTTTTTTTTCCCGTAAAAGGTCCGCTCTGGTGCAAACCATGTTTAATACAACAAGGTAAGAACAGATTACCACAACGTTTGCTTGTGGCCTTATTGCTGGTAGATTTATGAGCTTCTTTCTAAAACTGGTCAGCAGGCCAGTGCTTAATCTCGCTGCAGAGAGTGGCATGGCTGTGCCGGTAGCAGAGCTGCGCTCCGGGCACAGACACCCAGGAGTCTCCCGGGAGAGCCCCGTAAGCCGCTCCGCAGCCCGCAGCACACCGCAGCCTCCGCACCGCAGCCTCCTCGGACAGAAGCCGGCAGCAATCGCACTAGGACCAAGCCACATCACACCTTTTTCCCAACCAACACGCCAGGACCGCAGCACCATCCCACCGAACACAAGTGGACACAAAGCGACCTTCCATGGCAAAGCCACCAACGAGCTCTCCATCTCTGGGGGAAGTGGGTGCGCTCCGCATTGTGCCGGCACACCACGCTCGAGCCTCCAAAACCAGTCTGAGAGGGGTGCGTGCTCCTTTACATGCCTGTCCAGTGTCTTCCATCCTGCCACTGCTGTAACTTCCCACTCTCCCTTCCGCCTGTACTAAGCCTCTCACCTTCTCCAGCAGCGCAGGACAGCCAGCCAGCCGCGACTGCCTCGCTCCCCTCGCCGCAGCCGCCGGGCTCAGCCTGCGCCAGCAGCCGCAGGGGGCTGCCAGGAGCTGCGGGGCTCAGCGTGACGCTCCGCCCCGTCCCCATGGCTCTGGGCCTGGGGGCACACTGCCTCCCTGCTGAAGGTGACCTCCGGGAGGGAAGAAAGAGGGGGAAAGGGAGAAGGAAAGGACTATCCCTCTACCCTCTTAATGGAGGGGGATGTGTTTCAGGAGTCGGGGTGGGATTGTTTCTGCTCTAGCCATAGCCTTATAAACCCCCAGGGATCCACTGGCAGACCCACCTTGTTCAGTCCTTCGCTGCAGCTTGAGCTCTCATTACAGCTGATGGAGCAAAGCAGCTCTCTGGGCTGGAGCAAGGTCCTTGCTCCAGGGCTGTGCCAAGTAGGAGTGTGTTCCTGATGGCAGGGATCAGAACGACCATGGGCTGCCAGTGCTTGTCCTTGGCTACCAAAAGTGCCCATGCCAGTGAGCATCAGAGATCAGGCACAAACCACGGCTGGCTCAAGGACCCCTCTTGGGGCCCAGTGGGTCAGGGTCCTCACACACACCCGTACTGCAGAGCATGGTGGTGAAGCTGAAATTATTAATGATAACTGTGATGAGTTGTGAACATTTTACCTATTCTCAGTACCTGCCCCCAGAGCATACTCCTGTGCCAAGGTCTTCCTTCTGTCACTTGAGCATGGAGATGAAAACAGCTCCTGGATGCATGGACACCATGCAGGCCCTACATCTTGGCTCTTTTTTTCTCAACACTGATTTTTTTTTTTTTTTTTTTTTTTTTTTTAAGGAAGTGGATCAGTTTGTGTATCTGTCAGCAGCTGTAACATGGGTGTGTCACAGCACTGGCCTCCCTGTTCCCTAGAGCCAGAGCCATGATGGGCACTTGTAGTGATGAGCCTTGGTACTCTCTGGGGTCAGAGAATTGGGAGGAGGGCTGGGAGAGGTGAAAGACAGCCTAAGAGAAAAGAATAGCCCCCATAAACATAAATACTCTGGGTCTCCAGCACAGGACTGAAACTTCTCACCTGATCTCAGAAGGGAGAATAATTATGCCAAGGGCTTGTCACTCAGTGCTCTGCCCTCACAGAGGGGCAACAAGGTGATGAACTCGACTGCTGGCACAGGCCTGTGAAGACCCAGTCTGCTACCACTCAGAGGTGGTGCAAATCAGAGGGCAAGAGGAGTAGCACAGTCAGGCTTCCAGCTGTCCCTGTGCTTCTGGATAAGAGGTGGGGAGTGAGATTGTTTTGCTGGTGACCTAAAGGTCTTTTGCCATTCAAGGCTGTGCCTTTACATTCTGAAAGGTGTGATTGGGAACAGCCTTTAATGTGCAAACTCCCTACAGGCAGGAACATTATTGCTAGGGGTGATGTGAGTGTACCAAAGAAACCTATCCAGTATCCAAGAACTCAGCACTGGGATAAATAGTGTAGTGTAACCACTGCTCTCCAGGAACAGGGACCCTGTATAATCTCATCTTCTGGTGGAAAGTGTGAGACTGTTGCCTCTACTTGAGAGACAAGTCAGAACTGAAAAATGTCTCTGGGGACTTGCTATAATTTACAGTAACAACGCAGTGCTGGGAAAGCTGCCCAGGCTCCCTGACTCCCCCAGTCCCTCTCTCCTTCTCTCCAATCACTATCTTAAACATGCTCTCAGATATAGGAACAAAATACAGCAGTCTTCCTTAATTTTCCAGTTTATTTTTTGAGAGACAATCCCTACATTATCTATTCCTATTGAGATGGGCACCTGCTGAGGGGTTTGGTTCAGGGAAGAGACCTCTTTCACAGCCTTACCTGGAGTGCACTGACAAGTAGCAATCCCACTGAGGGCTTGCTCCTGACCTGCCATTCATCCGCAGGGCTTGTCCTGCATTCCTCATTAGCAGGGAATATGTCACGTACTGTGTATCACATGCATGTTTGAGAATCCCTGACGTCCACTCCCTGAGCACTGGGCACAGGACAGCTGTTGGAGGCCCCAGAGCTGCTGCACTGCAAATCAAGTCCACACTGGTGCATTTCAGGACCTCCGTAATTTAACACCCTCACCTCTCTCACCCACACTGCACACATTTTGTCCAGCTGGCAAACAAGATGTTGGTCAAAGTCAACACTGTCAGAATATGGACACATGATGTAACCAAAACTGCTTTTGTGTCTTGGAAAGTCTGGTCCCAGGCTGTGGAGGAGATAGAGCTAGGAAGGATAGGGGGTTGTGGGGAAGGTGGTTTTTGAGGTCTTATTTTACTTCTCATGATCCTGATCTGATTTTGTTAGCAAAAAATTCAATTAATAACTCACATTCAATCATATTTTGTCCATGACAGTATTGGTGAGTGATCTCTCCTGGTCCTTATTTCAATCCACGAACCCTTCATTATATTTTCTCTCTCCTGTCCAGTGGTGGAGGGGGAGTGATAGAGGAGTTTTGGTGGGTGTCTGACATCCAGCCCGGCTCAACTCACTAGAGTGACACACACAAGCATTGGGGATGGCCTATGATGTGTAACAAATACTGTATGAAGATGCATCCTTTTCCTCCTCTGAATTATGGCTGGTTTAGCATGATGAATATTCTGTCTCCTGCACGTCTACCTCAGAATAGGCAGTACACAGAAAAATAATAGAGCATGAAAATTTCCAAGAGCTAGACATGGCAGCCAGTATCACAAAGTCATAGCAGTGGCAACTGGGTCAGCTGGACTAAAGTAACTGCAGTAAAGGGACATAGTCAAGAAGGGCTCTCCTTTTCATTGTTCTTTCTCTCCCTTTATTGCTCATCCTCAGCGTACGCACAGCAGGCTGTTTCACTCACATCAGAACAGCAGCAGTTCTTCAAGTCCAGGCATACACAGCTCTAAAGGATCAGGCGTGATCTCCTAATAGAGAGTGCTCTGTAGTCAGGTAATGCCAGATGTATGGTTGCAAAGGAATAGTGCCCATCCAAAGAGAAATCCACCATCTTCCAGCAAGTACCCTAAGATCCATGGAGGAAACTAGCTCTCCCAACACACTTTCAGCAGGACACTCAGTTTCTCAAGTGCTGGCTTTAGTGTGAGCCCTTTTTCACAATGTCCCTGGCTAATGACTCTGATGATTTCCACAGCAGCTGGGTGAGGTCTGTACTCCTGTTTCAGGGTTACCCAGCCCCACACAGCTCTTTAGTTCCCATTCTGTATTATCAGAGGCTCCAAAAGCATTTAGGGGGAAGTAGATTTGATGCCATTTGAACCCAACAGAGTTGGGTTGTGAAGAGTGAAGGTGTAGAGGCTTATCAGCAGGGGTATGTGTGAGAGAAAGTTGCTGAAATATGAATGTCAGGCTCCTTTATGTAAAGGGACTAAAATGACACTGCTCTTTTAATATTATAGTCTATGGCAATGTTCAGTTTGTCTCTGTATTTTCAAACTGACCACAAGCATTTACTCAAAACATCTGTGAAAACAGCTTTTCAGAGCAGTCACAATCCCTTCATTTCCAGCGCTAAATTTTGCTCAGCTTTTTCAGATCCAGTTCTGTGCCTGACGCTGGGGAACCACTCTTTGACTTTCCCCATTGCCCTTCTGCTTCTTCTGTTAATGATTCTATGAGCTGCCAACACCTTCTTCCCCCCAGCCTCAGCAGGCAGGCCATTCTGCAGGGTACTACAAGGTGTGGGCTGCCTCCCAGGAGAGCTGGGGCCCTGAGCTCTCCCTGGCACAGGCAGGGTGCTCAGAGGAGTCCACCAGCTGCACAGACCATTTGTGCTCTGAGGTCATTCAGTGCTACCCCATCGCTGTGGAATCTGCTGGCCGCCTTCCTGACAGTGCCGTACAATGTCCCACCTCACTTCCCAGCTAACACAACAGGCACACTGAGCCTGGGGCCTGCTCCCCAGTGCTTCCCAGCTGTGTTCCCCATCTTTGTCAAAACCCCTCACACCTGAAACCTCTGGTCACCCACTGAACACCACACCTGCATCAAAGCGTTCTGCTCAGTCCCTCTTCAACCTACTCCCTTCATGTTGCTGTTGGGTGCATTGGGTGGAGAATGATTGCAAGAGGCAGTGCTAATCCAGTGAATCCATGAACATTGCTCCCAGTGCCTCAGAGCAATGCTGGGGCAGTGCCTTTCCAACCCAGCACAGGGACAGGGATCTACAATAGCTGTATTTTTAACCTCTTCCATCTCTCCCAGCCTGTCCTCCAGTGCTTAAAACAATATAAAATATCCTGTAACCATGGTGTACATCAGCCTTCTCCCTGAAACTTAATGGCTTATTTGTCACCACAGGTACAGGTAGGACTGTTCAGGAGGCAACTCAGCTTGCAGCTCCCACCCTAGCCTGGTAAAGTGGTGCCACCCCAGGAGGCTGAGTTGGCTGGGGCTCCAGGTGGCTTAATGACAGACACTGGGAAGGGAAGAGTTGTAGTGAGGTCTTGCAGGAAAAAAGGATAGACTTGCAGAAGAAGAGTGGACTTGGGTGGTGGGGTATGTAAAACAACATGTTTTACTGGGAAAGTTTTCTTCTGTCAGGGCAGAGAGATGGGACAACTGCTCCTAAGCATCTGGGATCCAGGAGGCAAGGGAGAAAAGGCTGGCAGAACAAGGTCTCTCCAGCCAAGTCTTGTCCCAGTTTCCTACAAGGGGAGAGCAGGCAGGCCAAGGGATGGACTGGGTTCAACTGAGAGTCCAGATCATCAGGTGAGCTTGTGGTGGCAAAGAAGCAGGTCCAAGGTCCAGGTGAGAAGTTGGTTTGTAGGTTAGTATCATTCCTGGTGGTGGCATTCAGTGCCAGTCCAGTGATTGCCAGGCCAGGTCAAGCCAGGAAGTCTGTTCAGTTGCCAGGTTCAGATGAACAGTGAATATGGCCATGCATAGCTGGGAAAGATAGACCACATTACAGCTCAGGCAGGGACTAAAAGCCAGGGCTGAGGTGAAAATGAAATGAAAATGAGGTGAAATGGGGTTCCTGGTCCCATGGGAAGATGTTATGGTGGGAGATCCAGGAGAGGCTGGTCAGGGCCATCAAAACTTATCATTACCCTTGAAGCAAGGCAAAATGATGGTTCCTGCCTACCTCTCAATTCTTTGGCAGCTTCTTGTCTGCCTCTAGTAATGGTCTGGAAGGCAAAGGCTCCCATTCCCTGAGGAAGGCTGATCCTACCTCATTTCTACAGCTTCATCTGCACAGAGAAGAAGGCCAGCACCCTGCAAAACATCTTCCACCAATCAGCTCCTAGGGACAACTGCTGCTGGGACACTGTTCCCAGTGTTGCTATCTGTCTAATGTCAAGGCATTGCACTTGTCTCCTCTGGGGTTGTCCAAAAAATTGCAAGGAAGGGAGGCAGGGAGTTCAGTCACTCCCCTAGGTCATCCATGAAGCTGCTGGATAAAATCACTCCTAAGAGTAATACATGGGCT